ATTTATTGTTAAGTCTTATTTAAATGTTTCTGTTCTCATGTCAGATATGTATGTATATATGTATGTATGTATGTATGTATGCATGTATGTACCAAGAGCTTCTTAAAATTCCTTGTGTGTTTGCGCACACTTGGCGAATAAAGTTGATTCTGATTCTGATTCTGATCTGAAGAATATACCCCAGTGACTTAAGACTGGTTTTGTGGTCCAGGATCACAGTTTAGTATAGTATAGTATAGTATAGTATAGTTTATCTTCACTAACTGCCTATGGTCACTGTATGCTTCAGCTGTATGAAAAAAGCAGCATCAATAATATTGATGCTGCTTTTTTCATACAGATGAAGCATACATAGGCAATATTGATTCAATATCCTTTTCAAACTTATATTCACAATTTAGCACAAAAGCATCTGGATATCCTAATATTCAGAAGGATTTAAGGATAAAGTTAGGATAAGCGAGGACAACCAAAGTAAGATAAAGGTAATCTTATTTGAATCCACAAATGATTAAAAAGCAGTCTGTTCATGCTCAGTGCATAAAGTGTCTGTGCTTCAGTATCATGTAAAAATACATCCTTGTCTTTACTAGCATATGCACTATTAGCTAGTAGTAGAGCAAAAACCTCTCTCTGACAGAACTCAGACAACCTTGATAGGGGTTTTAATGTTTAAATGAAATGGATTCTAATCCTTGGACATTTAAGACCTCTGTCAGCAATGCAATATCACTTTACTAGTATTGCCAGTTAGCATTGTTTACTACTATAGGCTAGCTTAGCGAATTGATATTAAACACTACGGGCCCTGTCATACACTCGGCGCAATGCGGCGCCAGGCGCGACGCAAGTGTTTTTTGCTAGTTTCAGCCCAACGCAGTTGTCATTTTCACGTCCTGCGCCACGTTGTTGAAATAGCAAATGCATTTGCGCCCATTTGTGCGCTCATGGGCGTGCTGGTCTGAAAACAAGGTGTGTTCAGGCGCATTGCTGGCGCGTTGCTATTTTGAGGCAACTGCAAAAGACCAACAAAAACCTGGTCTAAAGTCAATGGCGCAGTAGTTTTTTTGTTATTTAAAGAGCGCGTTAGTATAGGCGGGGCCCCAGCGCACATACACTCTGCTTATTACACACACAGGGACGCACAGCAGCACACAAACATGCCAAATATTAAAAATTTAAGTATTGCAATGTAGAAGATTATTATTCAAGTTCAAGTTCAATTTTATTAGTCACATACACAATCATACACAGTACGACATGTAGTGAAATGCTTGGTACGACTCTCCACACAGAATGCAATGCAATAGACTATATATTAAAATAGAAATATTATAAAAGTAGTAATAAGAAGAGAAAGAAAAACTGTATCCTAAGAAATAAGTTGAATAGTGAATAGAATTACAAATTACTATAAGGATAAATTAAACTAAGAAATTACAACAATAAAGAATATAAATAAGAAGAATATACAGATTACTAAAATTTACAGCAATAAACATAATTTAACCAAGTAAAAAAGATAGAGACTATATGTACAAAAAGATGTGAATGAATACATCTCTGGGTACAGAGATGGTAGCAGCAACAATCTGACAGTATGTGTATGTGCAGTAAAGTGCAATTATGCTTGTGCAGTCTGTAATAATAAAAGAAGTATAATGTTAATATGGTGTTGTATAGTGCAACT